TCCCTCCTGGCGCCGTGCTGCTGTTTGCGAAGTGTGTACTTTAGCTCTCTATGTCACAATGTAGGTGATCACAGACAAGGCTCTCTTCCATAACATTCCCAGAAGACCCTCCTGGTTCCAGGATTTGGAAGGCTTTATGAAAACATCGGAGTGTCCTCTAACAAAAGGATTCCGGCATCCCTCGGTCAGGTGGTCATGTGATGCAAGGATAGGCAGTGCTCCATTTTTCTTAGCCACACTCAGGCATTTTTTTTTCCAAGCTTGAACACTTTTAAGACAGGATATTCCTGGGGTTCATCTAGTGTCCCCCCAAAATATTTACAAACTGCTACAAAGTGTTTGAAAGTTTTCAGGCACTCATTAAATGTCCTCTTCTGAAGTTTAAACCAAGATTTTGTCATCCCTGGTTCCCCCCACTTACCTCATCACATGCTAATGACATTTTTAAATAACGCCTTTCCATTTTTGTTATGTACCTTATTTTACACCTAGTGATGTCATCACTGAATCTCTGTGCTTCTCTATGCAATGCAGGCAGATCATGGCTGATGGGAGGGTCCGGCAAGGAGATGTACTTGACTTCCTGAAAACATCTCAGTACCCTGCCTCAGTATTCTTTTCAAGAGCCCTCATCCCTGGTGCAAACAGTGGGCTGGCTCTTGCTAGGGATCATGCTGAGGTTCCATGACTGAAAGAACTGAAATACAATGAATGAGAGGGGCGGGCCAGAGACAGGCAGGAAGGATCAGGGGTCTCCAAACTTTTCAGTACCAGGGCAGCATTGTATAGTTTACAAATATCCACAGGCTGAAAAATTTGATCAGATTCCCCTCTATCAGTCAGTGTGCCCCCCTTATATCAATGTCCCCATCTGAGTCCGCTCTTACATCAATGTCCCCATCTGAGTTCCCCCCCTTACATCAGTGTCTTCATCAGTGTTTCCCCTTACGTCAGTGTCTTCATCAGTGTCCCCACTTACATCAATGTCCTCATCCGAGTCCCCCCCTTACATCAATGTCCCCATCCGAGTCCGCTCTTACATCAATGTCCCCATCCGAGTCCCCTCTTACATCAGTATCTTCATCAGTGTTTCCCCTTACATCAGTGTCTTCATCAGTGTCCCCACTTACATCAATGTCCTCATACGAGTCCCCTCTTACATCAATGTCCTTATCTGAGTCCCCCCTTACATCAATGTCTCCATCCAAGTCCCCTCTTACATCAGTGTCTTCATCAGTGTCCCCCCTTACATCAATGTCCTCATCCGAGTCTCCCCTTACATCAATGTCCCCATCCGAGTCCCCTCTTACATCAATGTCCTTATCTGAGTCCCCCTTACATCAATGTCCCCATCCGAGTCCCCTCTTACATCAGTGTCTTCATCAGTGTCCCCCTCTTACATCAGTGTCCTCATCCGAGTCCCCACTTACATCAATGTCCTCAATCGGTGTCCCCTCTTACATCAATGTCCCCATCCAAGTCCCCTCTTACATCAGTGTCTTCATCAGTGTCCCCACTTACATCAATGTCCTCATACGAGTCCCCCTATACATTAATGTCCCCATCCGAATCCCCTCTTACATCAATGTCCTCATCAGAGTCCCTCCTTACTTCAATGTCTTCATCAGTGTCTCCCCTTACATCACTGTCCTCATCAGTACCCCCCTTACATCAATGTCCTCATCCGAGTCCCCTCTTACATCAATGTCCTTATCAGTACCCCCCTTACATAAAGGTCCTCATCCGAGTCCCACCTTACAACAATGTCCCTATCTGAGTCCCCTTTTACATCAGTATCCTCATCCGAGTCCCTTACACCAATGTCCTCATCAGTGACCCCCTTACATAATTGTTCTTACCAGTGTCCCCCTTACAGTACATCAATGTCCTTATCCAAGTCCCCTCTTACATCAATGTCCTCATCCTAGTCCCACTCACATCAAAGTCTGCTATCAGAGTTCCCACCTACATCAGAGTCCCCCTTTACCACCGTAAGCATGGGTGTAGATATGTAGTAAAAGGGGGGGGGAGGCAGAGTAGGTCTGGACAGGGTACGTTCCATATTTCTGTGAATGCTGGGTCAAGCACATTGTTGGTTGCTAGGATGCTGGCAGGTTGGAGAAGGAGCTGAAGCGGAGACCACAGATAACCTTTGATGGCCTTAATCTTCCATCTGTGCAGATTTAGTATACGCCTTGGACCCTCTGCGCTCCATTTAATCTTCCATCTGTGCAGATTTAGTATACGCCTTGGACCCTCTGCGCTCCATTTAATCTTCCATCTTAATCTTCCATCTGTCCAGATTGAGGATACGCCTCTGATCCTACCTGTGGGTCTGGCATGGAAGGCATTGCTGAGTATAGGGAAGGGAGATCAGTGGACATCCATTTGTTGATCTCCCCATCCTACTGATGGCCCAGAAGCAATGAGTAAACTTTCAGTTCCCTCCTGGCGTCAGCCATACTGGCTTGGGAAAGAAACCAAAGGGGCGCGATCTGCGCTCCATTAGCTTCACTGGAGGACAGGTCCCTGATGTCTCATAATATAGAACCTGACACCAAAAAATGCATCATATAGACTTTTCGTCCTCTATGAGAAAAAAAGTAAAAATTTAAGTTACACCCAAGCACTTAAAATCTCCCCCTAAAAAACAGCACCCGGGACTCAAGTGGTTAAAGCTCATTACACACCTCATACAAACCTCCAACCACCCTAAGGCTTCGTTTAAACGTCCAGTTGAAGGGAATGCCCATTTCAGCCAATCTAAATCTACCGTAATTCTTGCCTTCCATTTGACTCCAATGCACTTCACCAACATTTTACCTAAATTTTCTGTTGCTTGCCAAAATTTTAGGGATATAAAAATGTTTAATTTGTCTAACCCGTAGCCATGAGTAATAAACTGACGTTCACATGCTGCCAAAACTCTAGACAAAGATTACCTGGTCTCTGCCAATGCTAAGTGTTCGCCAACAACCGTGGAATGCCAATACTACGGGACCTCTAAGCTGTGTTTCTATGGCAGTTGTTGCGTGTGGCTCAGTATGTCCTTGACTTCTGTACAATGAAGTCTGTCTGTCGGATGAGCAGATAGAGGAGACACCTCAGAAAATGATCAGCCATCTCCGCCACTTCTGCTACAATTGGCCCCCAGCAAAGCAACTCCCCATTCTATTCTGCTTATTCCCGGATACGTCAGGTAGAAGTTGTCCTCTGGAAGAAAACACAAAATGGCGCACTCTCCTCATGCCTTACCATGATAAAAAGGGATTTATTAAAACATTTACAAATGTATACTCACAAACCAAGGGTCATATAAACAGAAAAGGAACCAAAGGTGACAGTCCCAGACAAGAGAGGTCCTACGACAGAGTAACTAACGCGTTTCGGGAGTCGAACTCCCTTCCTCAGAGCTGTTTCAGCCACCCTCTTCCAACATTGTTCACCTCTGCACCCCCTGCCACCCTCTTCCAACATTGTTCACCTCTGCACCCCCTGCCACCCTCTTCCAACATTGCTCACCTCTGCACTCTCTGCCACCCTCTTCCAACATTGTTCACCTCTGCACCCCCTGCCACCCTCTTCCAACATTGCTCACCTCTGCACTCTCTGCCACCCTCTTCCAACATTGCTCACCTCTGCACTCTCTGCCACCCTCTCTTCAACATTGCTCACACTCTTTTACCCCTGCCGCCCTCTTCCAACATTTCTCACCTCTGCACTCTCTGCCACCCTCTCTTCCAACATTGCTCACCCTCTTCACCCTCTAACACCCTCTTCCAACATTGCTCACCTCTTCACCCCCTGCCACCCTCTTCCAACATTGCTCACCTCTGCACCCCCTGCCACCCTCTTCCAACATTGCTCACCTCTGCACCCTCTGCCACCCTCTTCCAACATTTTGCTCACCTCTGCACTCTCTGCCACCCTCTTCCAACATTGCTCACCTCTGCACCCCCTGCCACCCTCTTCCAACATTGCTCACCTCTGCACCCTCTGCCACCCTCTTCCAACATTGCTCACCTCTGCACTCTCTGCCACCCTCTTCCAACATTGCTCACCTCTGCACTAGATCTGCACCCTCTTCCAACATTGCTCACCTCTGCACTCTCTGCCACCCTCTTCCAACATTGCTCAACCTCTTCACCCTCTAACAACCCTCTTCCAACATTGCTCACCTCTTCACCCTCTAACACCCTCTTCCAACATTGCTCACCTCTGCACCCCCCTGCCACCCTCTTCCAACATTGCTCACCTCTGCACCCTCTGCCACCTTCTTCCAACATTGCTCACCTCTGCACCCCCTGCCACCCTCTTCCAACATTGCTCACCTCTGCACCCTCTGCCACCTTCTTCCAACATTGCTCACCTCTGCACCCCCTGCCACCCTCTTCCAACATTGCTCACCTCTCCACCCCCTGCCACCCTCTTCCAACATTGCTCATCTGCACCCTCTGCCACCTTCTTCCAACATTGCTCACCTCTTCACCCCCTGCCACCCTCTTCCAACATTGCTCACCTCTGCACCCCCTGCCACCCTCTTTCCAACATTGCTCACCTCTGCACCCCCTGCCACCCTCTTCCAACATTGCTCACCTCTGCACCCTCTGCCACCTTCTTCCAACATTGCTCACTCTTCACTGCCATCTTCCAGCATTGCTCACCTTTGCACTCTCTGCCACCCTCTTCCAGCATTGCTCACCTCTGCACCCCCTGTCCCCACGTTGAACACTGCTCACCTCTGCACCCCCACCCCCCCCATCCAACACTTCTCACCCTTGCAACCCCCACCTCCGCGTCCCACACTACTTACCTCTGCGATGGCATTTTGGTGCACAGAAAGTGGAATACTAGTGGCTATTGAGGACGGTAATTACATTTTTGTTTGCCTGTAGTTTAGCTTTAAAATGACATTAAAGTGTTACTAAACCCATAACAGTACAAACAGTCTGTAGATGCAGTAAAGCATGCTTGTTATACTCACTGTGGAACCTAAGGGGAATCCTCTGCATTGTGTAAAAATGCTGCTTGATCCTGTCTACTCTGATCCTCCCCTTTTTACAGTGTCCCCCTCTTATCTCCTGATAAGACATATCGTGTGGAAGACACTCTGCACATGCTCATTTGGTGGCATTGCTAGAGAGTTTTTCATTTCTTGGGAGAGTGCATGTGATCAGCACTGTCCAGACAGAGGTCAGGGGTTCTGCATCTTCCTAGAGCAGAAAGAAAACTCCTTCTACAAGCTTTTAACCAGTGCTCTGCTGGACACTAATAGAAGTCACAAGACTGCTATATACTGCTGATGAGAAAAGGTATTTAGCAGCTTATATTTTCTAAAATAATTGCATTTACATGTTGTGTGTAATGTGGGAGACCAGATATAGTGAATGCGGGGTCCGGGGAGATTGGATATAGTGAATGCAGGGACCTGGGAGACCAGATATAGTGAATGCAGGGTCCGGGGAGACCAGATATAGTGAATGCAGGGTCCGGGGAGACCAGATATAGTGAATGCAGGGTCTGGGGGAGACCAGATATAGTGAATGCAGGGTCCTGGGAGATTGGATATAGTGAATGCAGGGACCTGGGAGACCAGATATAGTGAATGCAGGGTCCGGGGAGACCAGATATAGTGAATGCAGGGTCCTTGGAGACCAGATATAGTGAATGCAGGGTCCGGGGAGAGCGGATATAGTAAATGCAGGGTCAGGGGAGACCGGATATAGTGAATGCAGGGTCCGGGGAGGCCAGATATAGTGAATGCAGGGTCCTGGGAGAGCGGATATAGTGAATGCAGGGTCCAGGGAGACCGGATACAGTGAATGCAGGGTCTGGGGAGACCAGATATAATGAATGCAGGGTCCAGGGAGAGCGGATATAATGAATGCAGGGTCCGGGGAGACAGGATATGGTGAATGCAGGGTCCAGGGAGAGCGGATATAGTGAATGCAGGGTCCGGGAGAGCGGATATAGTGAATGCAGGGTCCGGGGAGGCCAGATATAGTGAATGCCAGGTCCAGGGAGAGCGATATAGTGAATGCAGGGTCCTGGGAGAGCAGATATAGTGAATGCAGGGTCCTGGGAGAGCGGATATAGTGAATGCAGGGTCCTAGGTTTAGTAACAGTTTAACATGTTCTAAAGCTAATATGATTGGGTTAACACTTAATTAAAAAAACCCCTTGTAATGAATATATGTTTTATTTTATACTCAGTAGCTCCCCTCTGGTAGTAGAATCCACATCCCATCATAGTGACAAAGTTGTTCGGAGAGCCGTGCTGTCTCTGTTATCTGTCAGCAGATAACAATCTATTGATGGACTTGTCCTCCCTCCTCCTGTCACCCTCTGTTACTATCCACTAAGGTCAGCGGCTGTCCTGGCGCCCCTGCGTCTGACAATGGCCGACTCCCAGGAGCCTGGTTCTTCTGGACTTCAGCCTGACACACAGGGTGAGCGGGGGGATCACACCCAGGAAATCTCACCTGACTTGATATGTCTGTCAGTGATGTGTACAATCAACAAAATCAGTCCAAAATTTTAAAGAACCCAAAATCTATGTCTCACGCTTATTTATAATAGAGTAGATCAGCAAATGGTGGTTAACATAGAGTCCAGGGCTCCATTCTAATCAAGGCTCCATTCATACCAAGACTCCATTCACGCAAAGGCTCCATTCAGACCAAGACTCCATTCATACCAAGGCTCATTTCATATGAAAACTCAATTCAAACCAAGGCTCCATTCAAACCAAGACTCCAATCATACCAAAGCTCCATTCAAACCAATGCTCCTTTCATACAAAGGGACCATTTACACCAAGGCTCCATTGAAACCAAAAGTTCACTCACACCAAGGTTCCAATCATACCAAGGGTCCAATCACACAAATGTTCCAGTCAAACCAAGGCTCCATTCAGACCAAGGCTCATTTCATACGAAAGCTCAATTCAAACCAAGGCTCCATTCAAACCAAGGCTCCATTCAAACCAAGACTCCATTCAAACCAAGACTCCAATCATATCAAGGCTCCATTCAAACCAATGCTCATTTCATACAAAGGGACCATTCACACCAAGGCTACAATGAAACCAAAAAAACCATTCACACCCAATCTTCCAATTCCAATCACACCAAGGGTTCCAATCACACCAAGGTTCCAAACCAAGGCTCATTCAGACCAAGGGGCTCCATATGAAAGCTCACACCAAGGCTGCATCCAATCACACCAAGGGCTCCATCCAATTACACATCAAGGGTCCAATCACACAAAGGTTCCAGTCAAACCAAGGCTCCATTCAGACCAAGAATTCCATTCTCATTTCCAAGGCTCATTTCATATGAAAGCTCATTCAAACAAGGCTCCATTCAAACCAATGCTCATTTCATACAAAGGGACCATTCACACCAAGGCTCCATTGAAACCAAAAGTTCATTCACACCAAGGTTCCAATCACTCCAAGGGTCCAATCATACCAAGGGTCCAGTCACACAAAGTTTCCAGTCAAACCAAGACTCCATTCAGACCAAGACTCCATTCAGACCAAGGCTCATTTCATACGAAAGCTCAATTCAGACCAAGGCTCCATTCACGCCAAGGCTCCATTCAAACAAAGACTCCAATCATACCAAGGCTCCAGTCATATCAAGGCTCCATTCAAACCAATGCTCATTTCATACAAAGGGACCATTTCACACCAAGGTTCCAATCATACCAAGGCTCCATTCACACCAAGGTTTACAATCACACACATGGTCTAATTACACCAAGGGTCCAATCACACAAAGGTCATTTCAGTCAAACCAAGGCTCCATTCAGACCAAGACTCCATTCATACCAAGACTCATTTCATATGAAAGCTCATTCAAACCAAGGCTCCATTCAAACCAAGACATTCCACCAAGGTTCATACACCAAGGCTCCATTCAAACCAAGGCTCCATTTACAGTAAGGTTCCATACAGTACAAGACTTCATTCATACCAAGGCTGCAATCAGTCCAAGACTCCATTCATACCAAGGCTCATTTCATACCAAGACTCTTTTCATAGCAAAGCTCAATTCAAACCATGGCTCATTTTATATGAAAGCTTCATTCAAACCAAGGCTCAAATTATACCAAGACCCCATTCATACCAAGTCTCCATTCAAACCAAGGCACACTTCATACAAAGTCTCCATTCACACCAAGGCTCAAATCATAGTCCCTTCCTGTTCCAACATGACTGCCCACCAGTGCACAAAGCAAGGTCCATAAAGACATGGAGGAGCCAGTTTGGGGTGGAGGAACTTGGCTGTCCTGCACAGAGTCCTGACCTCAATCCCATAGAACACCTTTGGAATGAATTAGAGCGGAGACTGTGAGCCAGGCCTCCTCCCCCGACATCAGTGCCTGACCTGACAAATGTGCTTCTGGAAGAATGGTCCAACCTTCCCATAGACACCTTCCTAAACCTTGTGGACGGCCTTCCCAGAAGAGTTGAAGCTGTTATAGCTGCAAAGGGCGGGGCCAACTCAATATTGAACCCTACGGACTAAGACTGGGGGGGCCATTAAACTTCATGTGTGTGGAAAGGGCGGCCGACCAATACTTTTAGCAATATATTGTAGATTTTAGTTTGAGGTTTAATACCGCTTTAAAGGCAATGGGCATTTCCAATCTTCCACTTTAAGTATTTAACAAAAAAAACACTAACTTTATTTTTGAATTAGTACATGTTCTGAGCTGTTCCCCCCAACCCCCTCCCACCACCCCCATGCAATTTTTTACACCCCTTTGTCTATTAGCCCAGAAAATGGTAATTTTTAATTTGACAGATTCAGCTTTTTTTTGATTTCAATGGGGTTGGTTTTGGGTTCGACATCATCACTTCTTTGAAGTTCACCAAACTTCCTACTTGAACCAATCTCATGGCAATTCGGCTTATCACTATTGGCTGTACAGTCCACCATACCATACCATCCCCCTATAATGGGACAAAATATATGGAGTCCGAAAACCAGCAATGCCAGGTGCTCCCTGCAAAGGAATCTTCCAAAAAATAATCCTTCTCATTAAGAACATTCCGTGATATCTGTCCTCATCCTTCTACCTGTCCCAGATGACTTCTATTTACTAAAGAAAAACAAAAACAAAAAAAAAGTAAAGGTAGTAATCATCCCAAACGATCAGAAGAGATAACAACGAAAAGTCTCCTGACGCCAGAGATTATCGGAAAGGTGACCTCATGTGTGACCCCGGGGACGGGATCTGTATATATAGAGCGCTGAGCCAGCCGGAGAGATAGAACCCATCACTGACCGAGATCACCAGTGACACCAACCACTGACACCATGAAGACCACCGCACTGTGCGTCATCCTTATCCTCATCCTCTCCACCACCTGTCACCGAGGACACAGCGCCTCCATCAACCTGGTGAGACACAGATATCCATCTATCCATACACCTATCTATTGCACATCAATCTACAATCTTTCTTTCTTTCTTTCTTTCTTTCTTTTTTCTTTTTTTCTTTTTCTTTTTCTTCTTTCTTTTTTCTTTCTTTCTTTCTTTCTTTTTCTTTTCTTTCTTTCTCTCTCTCTCTCTCTTTCTTTTCCAGATCGATCTATCTATCTATCTATATCTATCTATCTATCTATCTATCTATCTATCAATTAAATAATAAATAATCTTTCTTTCTTTCTTTCTCTCAGATCTATCTAGCTATCTATCACAAATAAATGTATCTATTACAGACCAATCTTTCTGTCTATTTATCTAAATATCTCAGATCAATCTATCTACTTTTTATCTGTCTATTGCAGATCTATCTATCTATCTATCTATCTATCTATCTATTATCTATCTATCTCATATCTATCTATCTATCTATCTTATCTATCTATCTATCTATCTATCTATCTATTATCTATCTATCTATCTAATCAAATCAAGAAAGAAGATAGATGGATGATAGATAGATAGATAGATAGATAGATAGATAGATAGATAGATAGATAGATAGATAGATATGAGATAGATAAAAGAAAAAGAGAAAGACAGAAAGAAAGAAAAGAAAGAAAGAAAGAAAGATAGATAGATAGATAGATAAGATTATTTATTTATTATTTAATTACTAGATAGATAGATTTGCAACAGATAGATAATAAAGATAGGTAGATAGATTGATTGAGATATATAGAATATAGATAGAAAGATTGGTCTGTAATAGATAGATAGATAGATAGATAGATAGATAGATAGATAGATAGATAGATAGAAATAGAAAGAAGAAAAAGAAAGAAAGAAGATAAGATAGATTATAGATATTATTTAGATAGATAGATAGATAGATAGATAGATAGATAACAGATAGATAAAAATAGATTGGTAGATAGATTATAGATCTGATAGATAGATAGATAGATAGATAGATAGATTAGATATGTCTGATAATAGATAGATAGATAGATAATAGATAGATAGATAGATAATAGATAATAATAGATAATAGATAGATAGATAGATAGATAGATAGATAGATAGATAGATAGATAGATAGATAGATAGATAGATAATAGATAGATAGTAGATAGATAGATAGATAGATAGATAGATAGATAGATAGATAGATAATAGATAGATAGATAGATAGATAGATAGATAGATAGATAGATAGATAGATAGATAGATAATCTATCATTTTATGTATCTCTCTATATCTCTATGTATTGTATTTTGCTATTAAATAATAATAATAATAAATAATAATATCTGTGTATTTTCAGCAGGATGACATCACACACGCTGAGGACAATCTACTCCAGGAGGAGACCGGCGCACTGGTGAGTCTTCTTTCATGTTGTAAATACTTTGCTGTCTCCTATTTTTTATCGGCTGCAGTCAGAGGATACAATTGTTTGGATGAAGTCGGCTTTTCATCTCCACTCTGTTCTTTTATTTTTGGAATTCTACATATTTATGAATGAAGGTCACTGATATTATATACCGTCAGCCAATCTGGGACTTACGTTTCCCGCTTCCCTTCACCATTACTATTAAAGGCTCACACCACTCAAAGTTTTCTGTCTTTACCAGCTGCTGAACCACCTACTAGAGAATATTCCCAC